GAAAGCATTTTTCGTGTATGGTTGATCTCTTAGGCCGGGCGGGTATGCTAGAGGAAGCTGAAGACTTGCTGCAGCAGGCACCGGTTAATGGGGACTGTGTGATGTGGAGCTCGTTGTTGCGTAGTTGTAGGATACACAAGAACGAAACAGTCGGAAGACGAACGGTAAAAACTTTGTTGTTGGAGCTTGATGTCGAAGATCCTGAGATATGGTTGCAAGCTTCAAACTTTTATTCTGAAATTGGAGAGTTTGACACTGCAATGCAAATCAGGGAAATTGCAATAGCAAGGAAAGTGAAATGGGAGATGGGTCACAGTTTGATCGAGGTAAACAGTCACCATCACCGCTAGCATCTTGAAATGATGAAACCACCTGATCGGATTCTTCATTGACCCCACTGTGGCTCTGTATGGAGGAAATCTTGGTCAGGGGCTCCATAGACCACCTCTCACGAAAACACAAGATCCCTTGTATTTTAATCCCGCTCGACTCCACTTGACTCAACAGGATCCCACATAGTGTGTGAGTTGTCCTAATCAAGCAGTCTTACCAGAATTCTCTCCAGTCTCCACTGCATGATGCTTTCAGCTAAATTTTCATCTGGCCGGCCCCTGCTCATGAGGTTTACATCTTCTCAATAAAAATATTCTTCTATGTTTGGTCTAACTAACTCGTTGACCTTTTCTTTTGCTTTTCTTACAAAAAACATTTTAGATTTTGTTGTACGGCAGACTGCAGCTGTACATCCAATCATTTTATTTCAAAACCCTTGAAAATCAAATTGTCCTTAAAAATTAATTCGATTTATCCAGAAAGTATTGCACTTTGCTGATTTACCTTTACTTTCCTTTTATCCTGAAACAAATGCCAGAGTGAAACACTATTTCTGGTTCATTTTGTTCACTGATTTAAGAGTAAAGCAAACAACAAAGATTTTCCCTTGCTTTAAGTGTGGGCTTGTAGAAAATGTAACATCTTCATCTACTTTCAAGCCAAGCCATGTTAAACCAGAGAGCCCTTTGGATTTCTTAAACTAATCTGTACGTATAAATGGTAACCCATTGTTCGTTGAAATTATACGAATCGACTAATCTTGCAAAACAACAGAAAAGACAAGCATGGATAATCTCTTTGCGGTTTTTGTTTTTGGTATGCTGATAGCGGTTTTTGGAGTTGCAAGAGACGTGGTCTGTGACAACATGAGCATGCTTCATGAGCTTGAAAGCTTTAACATAGAAGAAGACAATGAGCTGAATGTTTTCGACATCCCGACATGGAAAAGTGAACGTGGTAGCAAGACTCTTGTTAACGTGGATAGCTTCGGCGCAGCTGGGGATGGAGTTTCTGATGATACTCAGGTGACTTTTTTTTTGTCATTCAAATGCACTTCATTTGTTGAACAATTAAACTCACTTTCAAATACTAGATTTTGCCAAAATATTGAGACTCAACTTTTGATACCAATAAACTGAAAGAATATTAATTATACAACGTACTGTGATCAGCAGTTAATTTATTGCAAAAAAGACATGACGATTCACAGCTCTAGCACGTCTGAACTTTGCCAATTTTAACCACGAAAAAAGAATCATTTACCCAAACTATTTACCATTTTTGTTGACATTTAATTCTTTTACACTACCATTATTCTTAGGCTTTCCAGAAAGCCTGGGGTATTGCTTGCAATACAACAAAAGCAGTTTTCTTGGTACCCCAAGGACGCCGGTATCTAGTGAATGCTACAAAATTTCAAGGGCCATGTGCGGATAACTTGATCATCCAGGTAAAACCTTTCTGGATTTTTTGGAAAGATAGCTCTTTATAATCCATCTCCATTCTAACCATCAATGATAACTCTTTATATTCCGTCACTTTACACCTCTACATTGTTATGAAATGTTCGTGTTTGTAAATGGTACGACTAATGCACAGATTGAAGGAACTATAGTAGCACCAGATGAGCCTAATAACTGGGATCCAAATTTTCAACGAACATGGCTTGATTTCACTAAACTGAATGGAGTCCTTTTCCAAGGGCATGGCGTTATTGACGGCTCAGGCAGTAAATGGTGGGCCGCATCCTGCAAAACGAACAAGACAAATGTAAATCTTAGTATTTTATCATTTCTACTGTATCCAAATACTTAAATTCCATTTGGTATTGGATATTGATTTACCTCTCTGTCTCTTTCTTTTTCTACAGCCTTGCAGAGGGGCACCAACTGTACGTACCTTTCCCTCTGATCCAAAAATCAATTTATTCAAATGATATGGACACCAGGATCACTAGATAGAATTTAAGTTGAGTTTTTATTGCAGGCATTTACTATTGATAAAAGCTCAGCTATAAATGTAAAAGGCATCACCATCAAGAACGCCCAACAGATGAATTTTGTCATCTCTCAGTGTGACGCGGTGCGAGTTAATGCAGTACAAGTCTCGGCTCCAGGAGACAGTCCCAACACTGATGGAATCCATATCACGGCATCTACTAATGTGATTCTCCAAGACTGCAAAATTGGAACAGGTTCTCAAACTTTCTTCAATATCATGTCTCATCTCACTTTTCATAATCCAAAAGAAAGAACTGGGATGGAAACAAGACTAAATTGGTTATATGAACAAAGAATATCATAAATTAACCTTTGATTGGATACAAAGGAAACAATTGATCACACTTGAAGGGCGCTTGATCACATGACACATTGTGTTTCCTGTTGATTCAGGTGATGATTGCGTCTCAATTGTCAATGGTACCTCTGGAATTAAGATGAAAAGAATCTTTTGCGGACCAGGACATGGAATCAGGTATCATCTACTTTTGCTGTAGACTAATCCTATAGTTTGTGTCTCATGTAGTCATGTCTCCCAAAAGAAATACATAGCAGGCTGCTGAAATCGTTGTTCTCATTATCTTTGTTGGCACGAAATTCTGAAACTTAGCATCGGAAGTCTTGGGAAGGATAACTCCACTGCCATGGTCACAAAAGTGGTCTTGGATACAGCATACCTCAGGGAGACGACCAATGGCCTCAGGATTAAGACTTGGCAGGTTTTTAATCTATTAATGGGATTTCTTTGTTTTATTTTTCGGGTTGCAGATGGATTTCCCCTATGTTAACATTCACTGTTTGCATTTGGGTATAGGGCGGTGCTGGTTATGTTCGTGGAGTCCGTTTCCAGAATGTGAAGATGGAAAATGTATCAAACCCGATAATCATAGATCAGTTTTACTGTGATTCCCCCAAAACTTGTCAAAATCTGGTAATGCTCCGAATCTCTTCTTTCTTTCACCGCTGATTTCTCATCCATTTGACTCTGATTGTAGTTTAAACTCCCCAATGCTTCACTTAAATCAATCATAACCAGAACTCTGTCAAATTTCTGTTAATTGTGAATGTGTTGCTTTTCTTTGTCATGACATTCCAGACATCAGCGGTGCAAATAACCCAAGTCATGTACAAGAACATTTATGGAACCACAAAGAGTGCGAAGGCCATGAAATTTGCCTGCAGTGACACAGTTCCATGCAGGAACATAGTCCTGACTGACGTCAACTTAGAGAAGGAGGATGGCCAAGTGGAAACATACTGCAACTCTGCGCAAGGCTTCGGGTATGGCATTGTGCATCCTTCAGCAGAATGTCTGAATTCCCATGACAAAGAGACATCTGAAGCTGAGCTTGCAGATCTGACTACAGCGGATATTGTGCACACTGAGCTATGATTTGGTTCCCTATATGCACATAACTAAATAACTGTTTGATAGTATACTGAACAGGGTAATGAGCCTGTAGAGTGCTCTTTAGTAATGTAAAGGATTATTGGAGGGAGGTTTAAGGGGCAGTTGCGCAGAATATTATTATATAGAATTATAGTTATGAAATTGATCACTCTTTTGTTAAAGACACTGTCTCATTGAAAAAACCTCACTTCCACTCTTTATTTTTCAACCTTGATTTCATTTATTGACATGATTGATCATTTGAGGTGTAGAATTGTACTTCAGAGGAGACTCCGTCCAAAGTTTGACTCTAATACCTAAATCTAAGCGATTAAGGATTAACCAATCCGAGACTAGAAACTAAAGAAGTTCAAATTTGCACTTTGCCCCTGGGCCTATACCAAATTTCAGGGATAATCAAATCCCCATTCCTCAGCCTTGCCCATTATTATCACTATATTCGGAAATGGTATGAACTATGAAATGTGTTTCGTTTTTGGAATAGGGACAACTAGAAAGTTAATTTGCAGACAAGGACGATCGAGGACCACTCGGATATTCGAATCCGGTCCAACAGAAGTTCTGATTTGTTAATTGACAAGATGACATTCAGAACCCAACAACTACAACCAAAAGCTTATTCTGCAGCAATGAAACGACATGAAAAATAGAAGCTGTGTGCAATAAATAATCACTGACTGGTTGATGAAAGTATTGGGATCCTTCTGCCGACACATTTGATGAAATTTTATACAATTACTAGGTGTCATATGGTGATTGATTGAAGAAAAGCAAGCAATTCTAAACTCTGTTTTTTTTTGTCCTCTATTTTTTATTTTTGTAATCTACACTTATTTCATTTGTATTCACGTTTCACACTCTCATATAATGATATGTGTGAGCAGTTAAGTTGAATTTATTCAATATAAATGAATTATACATTGTAAAAAAGAGTCTAGTTATACACACGTTAACAAAAACGCGCTTCAGAAGACTAGTCATTAGTAGTTATTAGTACTAAAGAAGAGGCAATGGCCCATGGAAGATTTTGCATCTTGAGGTTGGATGAGACTGGACCTATTGTATGATGATGAGAACACAAAACGCCCGAAATTCCAAATGTGGATGAAAAGGGGTCACCGAGAATATGACTAATTTGTAATATCAACTACTACTAGCCAGTGGTTGAGTTGTGTCATATATATATATTCGTTTGGTTGGTCCTCCTCACTTCGGATGCTTGGGTCCATTCTAATAATGCTAGGCAGCAAGCAGAGCACACTAGCTAGGGTTGCAACAAAACTTATAAGGATGTATAGGCTGTATGTATCGATTAGGGTTAGGGTTTTCAAAAATATAATATTAGATTGAACACATTGACAACTCTCTCTGCAATTTAAGTAGTCACGAGAAATGGCCACCTAGTACAAAACAACAAATATGGATGTGCATTTATTTATTAGATTCACAATTTTCATACACACAGATGTGCATACATCACTGGAGTTTGCAAGATGGATCAAGAAACAACAGACGCACGATTTTTTGTTATATTTTTATAATTTCTACTCGCATTGTTGCCATTTATTAATGCAGTAATGAGATACTGGAATTTTTGAAAGCAGCAAAACTATACCATGCATGCTCATTGACCGCACAGAAGAGTCGAGAAACTTGGTTTTAACTTAATTTTAAGGAATAAACTATATTTATTGTTTAGTTTTTACCATCCGATATTTTTTCAATTATCGTTTAGTTTTCTTTTTTGCTTCAACATCGATCGGCTTTATTGCAGCTTTCATATTTTAACAGCCATGAACATTCTTAGATCGGTCGTACTGATGGTACTTACAACATGCCTGAATTCTGATGCATTTCCAGATGGGGTGTGGTATCCACACACTCCATTTCACTTCTCACAAACCTTTTTAATTTTCGATTGTTGGATCGGATGAATTGAAGAAGATCAACGGACATAAATTATCAAGAGGTGTGTGAGAAATAAAATGGGGTGTGTGGATAGCACACCCCTTCCATTACACAACAGGAATGCACATGTGCAAACACAGTAGTCCCGTCCATTGTTCACTATCAATATCATAACCCAATTTGCAAACACACAAGTGAATTTCCAACACCCATTTCTAATTTCTCCTATTGCGGCACCCATGTTTATTTATGAATTTCGAATTACATCAATCATAAGGAGAATTCAGTGAACACAAATAAATAAAGATGTAAATAATAAGAAAAAAGAATGTGTGAAAATCATTCCTTGCAATATATTATCTTATTAATTCTAATTGAAATGTTTACGTGGTTTAAATATCCACGGAAACATATATATATATATATATATATATATATATATATATATATATATATATTATGTATATACGATTACAATATATACGTGCCTTTGATTAAGGGTTTTGTGGCTTGGCATGCATGCATTAGATGCTAAGTCAGAGAGGGAGAAGAAGCAACAGGGAAAAGTCTCTGGAATCTTGTCCCCAAAGAAACAATGGCGGTATGGGGGGAACTTCATCAGCGGCTGTCTAAATCGATCCGTGATTGTGGCTACAATAAGGGTTTTTTTTTTCTTCTTGTAGGCCATAATAAGCCAAGGGTATCAAAGGTATACAAACAAAGAGGTACGTCGGGACAAAGGCAATTTTGTCTTCGGAAAATATTTTAAGAATCTATTGAGATCATGGACATAATCCAAACTGGAAATATATGTGTGTGTGTGTGTGTGTGTGTGTGTGTATTCACATGCTTAACAATGCCCACCATCCATACCTATAACATCATAAGCATTCAGCAGGGCCTACGGGCCTAGCGGTAGCAGCAACAACAAAGAGAAAACCCCGATGGGGAAAGTTTATTTCTGATGAATTAATGTAATTAATTCATTAATCATTATCGTAATCATATGATATATATACAGGTAGAGCTAGCTAGCTAGCTCCAAATCTTAGAAAGATCCGTGACCCTTCGCTTACAAGTTAACTTCAATCTGGTGATTGGTATTTGTAGGACCTATTCGATTACTGTTGCACATTATGCAACTAGCATGTAATTTCGATGGTGATGTTACTGATGTTGAAGTTTGTACAGAGACACATTTTGCCCCTTTTTTAACGGTCATATTTATCTATATTTTATATCATGATCATAATTAACTGTGTGTTACTGATTAATGCTTGTAAATTGTACATCAGTACTATTGGCCTCCGAAACACACCAGCTCCAAAATATAAAATCAAACAAGAAGCTTCCGAGTTCAAACGGGCAGCAAAACATAATTTATGTGATGCGAAAAAGTGCTTTTTGATCATCTCATATTATTTGTCTTAGGTAATGCTAGGTAGACTAAACTTGCAAATAAAATGATGTATCGACAATAAGAAATAAGCATGTTAATTAACACTTAAGTAATAATTCAATCATCAATTTCCATGTCATTTAATTTAAAAAATTTAATTAAAAAATTTAGTCTTCCTAGCATTAACTTTTGTCTTCAAGCCACAATGGTGAAAAAAATTACTACATTAGAGGCTGAAAATTAATCTTTAATGAAATTAATATAATATAATAAAATTAGGTGTTGCATGAAAACTTTCATGTGTGCATGAAATTTTTGATGCGTTGGTGAATGATCTAAACATTTTCTCAAAATTAATAATTAATCGAAGAGAAGGAAAGGAAACCCTAATCAATATCTGGCTGCGCATGGAGATGGAGATCACGAGAGTACTCAAAGTTCACGAGAACATGAAATTTAATGTAAGCACAAAAGGACGGCTAATCAAGAAGGTCTTCCAGGTCGTACTTCCAAGTGTCTATATCTTATTCACTCATAGTTGTCACAGAAATTACAAAAGAAAAAAAAAATAATATATATATATATATATATATATATTGCCATGCATGCCAAAAATTGCGATTAAAAAGTTACAATTCGTTGCATATATGTGCATTATCTATACATATCATATATATATGTGCATGGACTGATATGCATAGACCTGCACCTGCACAGCAGCCAACAAATTAAGAGCAATATAGTTTTGTGCGCTAGAATCAATTGATATTCGAGAACAAAAGGAAAACTATTAACTATGCATGACAGCACAAAAATTTTAACGGTTTTCTGTGCAAATAATGCTACAATATGATCATAAATTATAGAAAATATTGTTTCCATAATTTTGAATTCACATCTCTTCTCCCGCAACATCGCTTGTATAAAATACTAGAGTATGAAAGCAAACAAATCATATAATTCATCATCCGTATTCTTATTATCTTATCATTATTCTTTGGATCATTTTGGTTTTGTTCCCTAATCAACTTAGTTGTTAGACTGAAATTTTATTTGTTTAAATATTTTGATCAATGTCCTTAACATTATTTAAGCGATTTAACTCATGCATTTAATGTCCCACAAATTATGAAATTTAAACAAATTCAAATAATATTTTTAAAATATAATAAATACTTGAAAATAAATATTAGAATAATATTGTTCTTCACAAAATTATAGCAAAGAAAATAATGTACCCACATAATTATTAACATACTTTAAAAAATAATTGCTGATATATTTTAAAACATAAAATAAATACATATAATTAGCATGGGTACATTTAGTAAAATTAAAAATGGGTACAAATACAAATAAAACTTAAAAAATATTGGCACAAAAAGAAATTAATATATGGGTACAAATTAACATTGAAAAGAAAATTGGTACAAATTAAAAAAGGGTTGCAAATTAAAAATAGGTACAAAATAAAAATAAAAATATATGATAACAAATTTAGCCATAAATATAAACATACCAAATGTAACATTGCTAACAATAAATGAATATATTTAGAAATAAAAATATTTTATTATTGAAATAATTAATGATGTTTATTAATACCTAAGGCCTTGATTTAAAATTAAAAAATAATAATGTTTTAATTAATGGAGTAGCAAAAAGAAAGATGATAACCTAATTTCTCCTTATTCTTTTTTTATTATTTTGGGCACCAATAAATTCTTGCAAGCAAGCATAATGCATGAGAGAGGAAGAGACCAGTTTTGGAAGGAAATCGGGGAAAGGGACGGGCAAGGAAGAAGAAGTCGAGGAGTTGTGGGTGATGGAATTGAGGTGTGCATGTTATTGCTAATAGCTTCTCGGCTCTGGCATTTCTGTCAATTCATCAGCCACAGAAATGAGTAATAAACGATGGGGACGTTCTTGGCCTCATGTTTTTTCTCAATTGCTTAGCTAGCTCTATCTGATAAAAAGTATGAGACACATACACCTAAATAATTCAACCGAAAGTAACAGAAAAAATAATTCAACCGAAAGTAACAGAAACAGAAATATATATCTCTGTAGTATACATATCATCATAATGTTTTGTTCCCATAAAATATTCCAACTGTATTCCCATCGTCTTCTTGGAATTAATTATATGAAAGCCATGAAATAGTTCACAACGATGTAAGTTGTAATGCTAGCTAGACTTTAGCATAACCAAGTTAACTAAAATAATGTGTTTTTTTTCTTATTTAAGTTTGAATTTTTCACTCCAAAATTTATATAAATTAATTTGAATATCGCTTGAATACAAGAAAAAACATTTCACTATATAGATATGGACTATGGTAAGGAATAAAACAGAAAGACTGAACACGAACATCGTAAGGAAAATAACGTAACATGTCCAACAAAACATACCAACCCATGAATTAAATTTAATAATAATTACACAGAAAAAAGTTCAAAATTAAAAATCTAATCCAACAAATCGAAGAAGAAAAAAGAGAAGTTTAGCGAGAGATTCTCTCATACAACTAAGTATAAACTATAAATATGTTCAAGAGATTTTCAGCAGACAATAATCTGATCAATTATCGAAACAGATATACTGTTTCTGCACTGTTATACCGCACCACTAAAAACAGACTAAACCTCAATTAGTTCTTAATTATCGTCTCTCAAAGTCATTGCCATCGCATCGCAAGTATTGATCATGTGACTTGAAAGAAACCATTTTGTTTCCCACTGTTCTGTGGACAAATCATTACAAAATAATGGTAGTACAAACTGCAGGCTTGGTACTCTTCTGTTCTTCCTTCAGAATTCCGTAAAAACCGAAAAGGCAAAACTATGGGCGCAGTGGGTTTTACATTACTTCATAAAATTAAGGATTCTCTCACAAATAAGTCTCTCGAAATTTTATTTCTTATTAATACGCAAAGCACTTTAAAAAAAAAATAAAAATCTATGAACTCCACTGTTATTCCTATTGACTGTTACAACACAGTAAGTGATCAGTATTCATATTGTTTGATTCTCGAGGTAAATTAAATATTATAAGTTTTTAGAAGACTACGAAGGCCTCGTGATTTTAATTGGCTTTTTAGCCAAAATGGTTCATGAGATTTGCATAACACATCACTTTGGTCTCTGAGATTGAAAATCAATAGAAATGGTCAATGAGATTGTCCACCATCGATAATTTTTGTCATTTCGTTAAAAACTCCGTTAAGTGTCCCGGAGCTCATGGCCAAAAGTTTGGACAATTTTCAAAGCTTCGTAATTCAATCGTTTCTTAACCAAATTCGACCCATAATATATCAAAATGAAGATAGGAAAGTTTAGAACAAGATTGTACCTATTTGGGCTAATGAAGATAGGAAAGTTTAGAACAAGACTATACCTATTTGGAAGTCCAATAGTTGCTGGAGATGGCAGGAAAATAACTTTAAAGGTGATAGTCAGCGGGAAAACTAGAAAATTCACTGGAAACTGGGTAAACTTTAAACGTTCATAACTTCTTCAATACTCAACAAAATCGAGTGATTCAAAAACGAAAATCATACTTCTCAACGAGATGAAGAGAATATTACCTTTCTCAATGACCAACTCACTGTGGTTTGGCTGAAAAATGGCTCTAAAGTGACTGTCTTGGTCTCAAGTTAGCCACGTTCGAGTCGTTTTCCTGCCAAACCACGGCGAATTAGCCATCGAGAAAATATTATTCTCTTCGTCTCATCGAGAAGTATGATTTCCGTTTTTGAATCACTAGATTTCGTTGAGTATTGAAGAAGTTATGAATGTTTAAAATTTACCTTATTTCAGGTGAGTTTTCTAGTTTTCTGGTGGACTAGTCACCTTTCAGGCTATTTTCCGGCCATCTCCAACAACCATTGGGCTTACAAATAGGTATAATCTTGTTTTACACTTTCCCATCTTCATTTTGATATATTATGGGTCGAATTTGATTAAGAAATGATTGAGTTACGAAGATTTGAAAATTGCCCAAACTTCTGGGACACTTAACGGAATTTTTAATGGAATGACCAAAATAATCGATGGTGGACAATCTCAAGGACCATTTCTATTGATTTTCAATCTTAGGGACCAAAGTGATATGTTATACAAATCTCAATGATCATTTTAGCTAAAAAACTATTTAAATTAAAACTTTCTCGTATTAGATAAACTTGAATATATAAAAATATGAGAAAAATATATATAAGGGTGCAAGCAAGCACCCAATCCCAATCCAACACTTTTTTAACTCAAGTCATGCCATGTCATGTCAAACAAGCAATATATATAGAAATGTACACTAAATTAAATTTCATTAAAAAAAAAGGAATTTAAGAGAAATTTGTAGCAGCAAAATCCGTTAATTGGTAGCCATAGATGCAAGTCAAGAGGACAAGGCAGAGAAAAAAGAGTAGCCCGTGAAGGTTGCATGTGATCATAAAGTGCTGTTATAGTCAGTGCCGGGGACTTGACACCTAGTCCCACTCACGTGTGTCCTTGGCCTTCACATCCCCACTCACTCTGCTAGGTTAAATATTTTACTAACCCTTAACTCTATAGGGCTACATGTTATCAAGTTAAGTCAGTTGGTTAAATTAGTATGTTTATCACTTTATAATTGAGTACAAATTTTTATCGGGCAAGGTAAATAGTTAAAATATAATATCATCTTGTAAAGAAAAGAAAAAGTGGTATAGCTACAAAAGAGCATTATACAGACCAACATAGTTTAGAGGGGGAAACAAGTATGTGAAGGTCATTCGCAGATGCTCCGCATGTTTGGTACAGATCATTTTAGTGCTCATCAAGTGTTTGATGCATGCCTACTAGGCATATCTCGACAGTACTCGGCAAGTTGCATTAATAACACTTGACAAATGCTTTCGATAATACTCATCAGATTGCTTCGACAAATGTTGATATTTATTAACATGTGCACAACATAGGTCAATTGACGAAAGCAGGCCAACCAAGTATTTGATGCAATGCCTCCATGAATAAACTGAAATTTGTTTGCACACTTTGAGCCACGTTGGACCTTTTACAATAGGACTCCCCAAAATTCAAATCTTGAATCCACCACTAAATACGCATGCTATAACTTAAATGGATTTGTAACACTACATGACAGCGAGGTTAAAACATCACTTGCCAAAATGAACCATATTAACGTCCAAATAAACAGTGGTTGGTATTCTTAGCTTGTCATGGTTTCGTCATTATAACGAATTAATTAAGATTTGAGCAAGGATTATTTAAATGGACAATTTGTTCACATAAGCATTAAGAAATTGAATGAGTTGCAACAAACAGCTGCAATATTTGGCATGTGAGCCAAAACAAATTACAACTATAATTTTATACCAACCATAATTCACAAAAAAGAAAACATGATAATTAATATAAGAGAAAAAGGAAATAAAAATGAGAATTATATTCATAAATTTATAAATTCCTACGAGCTTATGTATGTGTCTCTGTCTATATAAACACAGCCACCACATCTTTTTTTCTATGTAAACTAAAGCAGCCCTCTCACACAACACTCTCTCTGTTTCTTAGCTCTTCCTTTCTCTCTCCTCTCTCCTCTCTCTCTCTCTCTCTCTCTCTCTCTCTCTCATCCACAATCCCACATTGTGCAGAAATGAGTGCGTTCAGTTTCAGAAGCATCGCATTCATGCTTGTACTTGCATTTCTGGTTTGGTCGTCAAATTTCGACGCTTGCATGGGGAGAAGAGGGCGGCATTGGAGGCAGAACAGAGCATCCTCTGCTTCTCTTTCAAAGAAAAAAGGAAAAAGTAGCCATGGCGGCGGCGGGGGTAGCCACCACCACAGTGGTAGTGGATCAAAACCTAAAAGGGCACCATCTCCACCTCAAAACAAGGCACCATCGCCACCTCAAGTTCCCAAGCCAATAGATGACACTCCACCAAGTTCTCCACAGAAAGGTTCATCCACTTTTAATGTGCTAGATTTTGGTGCTAAGGGTGACGGCAGTACCGACGACACCAAGGTTCGTAGTTCCTTTAAGCTCATCATGGTTTTACTATGTTAGCCAATTAAGGACTAATCAATCATGATCAAGGGTTAATTAAAATATCTTCATAGAAAAAACATTTGAGCTTTGATTAGAAATGTTGCTAGGTTTGAACACTGCATGTCTCCTTACCGTTATGGAGTCAATTTTCGCTAACTGCAAATCATAAATTGACACATATACTAAAATGACTATTAACAAAACAACGAGGAACGAGAAAATACATGTAAGAAGTCAAGTATTTTCCACTGCATTTACGAATGTAGCTCATGATATCATATAACCATGAAAATGACAAGGAATTCCAGCTGTAACGTAGATGACAGGTAGCCAATTAATCATTGAGAGAAACAAAATAGTTATTTTGGCAAACGTTTTGCCTTTTTGAATCATTTGCACGTGACCCTTTAGGGTTAATAACTTTACGTGACATGCTCTGGGTTAGATGGTAATTTTTCCCAAATTATGAAGAAGCATTGTGGTCGGTTTTATACTTTTTGTAAGTTCTACCTATTTATAATTACAATTTAATACAATGATTAAACTCACCAGGAGAATATTACTAAGATCCAGGAGGATCCTCGCCGAAGAATTTTGAAGATCTTCCAATCACATCCGTTTATCGTACATAGTGCGGTTAAAATCCATTGTAAATTTTTTTATTTAAAATTGAATATAAACATTATCTAACAAAAACTGACATCACGATATAAGATGAACAGATGTGATTGAAGGATCTCCGGGATCCTTACAAAAGGATCCGACGAGAATCTTCTCTCACTAATTGGTGGGGCCCAATGGGCCCACTGAACAAATTTTATTCTCGTTACGGCAGTTGGGTTGTTACGGTTCCAACAATAATTGTATACGGTTGTGCACAACAAACTAACGCCATTTTCTACGGTTCAAGATTACTTACTGTAATTCGTATAGTATCTGACAGAGGGGTTTTGATACGGTGTGACGCAGGCATTCCAAGCTGCATGGGCCGCTGCTTGTAAAGTTGAGGCATCAAATATCATTGTTCCAGCCGGTTACCAGTTCCTCGTGGGTCCCATCTCATTCTCCGGCCCATACTGCCAGAAAAACATCCTTTTCCAGGTAAAAATACGTACACACACAGTAACAGAGGTAAAAAGTAAAAAGTAACAAAATAAGAAGAAGAAATCAGAGTGTGGGGAAGTGATCTCAATCCCAAGGTTAATGGGAATTACTCGAATTGTGTGAACGACTGTCATTAGCATTCACTTAATTATGATTTCCGTCTTTCGTCTAGTGTACCAATGACGAGGTGAATTATGAATTTCTCAGCTGGATGGTACGATAGTAGCGCCAACGGACTCGGAATCATGGGGCAAAGGTCTGTTCCAATGGCTTGAATTTACAAAGCTAAATGGAATCACAGTACAGGGAAAGGGAGTGATTGATGGAAGAGGCTCATCTTGGTGGCAAGACACTCCCTATGGAGACCCTATAGACGATGATTTCAAACTCATTGTGCCACTAAACAGCTCAGTCCAACAACGCCCGCCAATGCCGGTAATTAAACTAAACTGTGTTGAATTTGAACATGAAATTTCATGATCGTCGAGCTTAATTAAACTAATCATCATCCTGTGAATGAAATCTGTGGCAGATAAGAAGCCAGCTGAGCGGGAAAATGCCAAGCATCAAACCGACGGTAAGGACCACTTGTGTGCCAAAATCTTGAAGCTTATGTGCTCTTGAGTCTTGACCTGCAGTTTCAGTAACATGATTTTTGAACTGTTGTTGATTGTACAGGCATTGCGGTTTTATGGGAGTTTTAATGTGACGGTCACAGGCATAACGATTCAGAATAGCCCTCAATGCCATCTCAAGTTCGACAACTGCCAGGGAGTTCTGGTCCATGATATGAGCGTCTCGTCCCCTGGGGACAGTCCCAACACTGATGGAATTCACCTCCAAAACTCCCAAAGAGTGCTCATCCACACCACCACTCTTGCTTGCGGTAACTATACACCTTACTCTCCAATATCTACTGTTAGCGCGGCGCACTGTGTTGGACTCAAAGATTCCACACTTAGTTATTATAACTCTTTGGGGAATTCCGTGAGCAATCTTATCCCGCCTGCAGCCTTGTGTATTGGCATCTTCCATCGACAATCCTCGACCACTAAAAGTTTGACACACAACAACAGGCAATCTGCTACATTCCAAGAATCATAGCAACCTCCCATGTGATGCATTGCACACCCTATATCATCAGTGGTCTATCCAATTTAGGATTAGGTCTCAACCCCCACTGACAACTACCCCCACTGACAACTCTTGGTTTGTAGTATTCGCAACCCTCAATCGATATTTTGTCATCATCGGATGCCAGAACCAGTGCTGAATTCCCCTGCCATTCTGTCCAGTTCAACTTAAAAACGGCCCACATACAACAAACAAAAGAAGGAAAAAATATCAAGCATGTCAGTTCACATCACAATGATTCCTAAGAACTAACTAAAGACTCAAATTTAAGCAGAAAATTAAAAACCAACAGACAAGGCATGAAATGGGCACAGACTTAAAACCAAGTCGATTAGTATAACTGTCATGGATTAATATTAACCTAAATGTTTCAATTCTAATGATTTGTGCAGGAGATGACTGTATTTCCATACAAACTGGATGCACAGATGTATACGTACACAACGTGAACTGTGGACCAGGGCATGGAATCAGCATTGGAAGTTTAGGAAGGGACAACACGAAAGCATGTGTTTCAAACATTACCGTTCGAGACATCATTATGCACAACACCATGAATGGTGTCAGAGTCAAAACATGGCAGGTATGAATTCACCTAAAAGTTATAACACATCCTTCCTACTGATTGTTAGACTTTAACATACAACTCTCTTCTGCATCAAATAATCAAATGTCGACTGCAAAACAATCTCAGTGACGCTAGAAATGAGTATTAAGAATTGTCTTCTTCATGGGATCTAACGCCACGTCAAATTAGTTTCTAATGCTTGACAGCTTACCCTTTTCTTTTACTTATATAACTGAATCCTAAATGTGCAGGGTGGATCAGGCTCTGTTCAGGGAGTGATGTTCTCAAACATTCAAGTTTCTGAAGTTCAACTCCCTATTGTGATTGACCAATTTTACTGTGACAAAAGCACATGCAAAAACCAAACATCAGCTGTGGCTCTGTCGGGGATCACCTACGAGAGAATAAGAGGAACATACACCGTAAAACCAGTACACTTTGCCTGCAGTGACAGCCTACCCTGTGTAGGCGTAACACTGAATGGCATAGACCTGAAGCCATTGCAAGAAAAGTATCACTTGTACGACCCCTTCTGCTGGCAGACGTTTGGGGAGTTGAGAACCCCGACAGTCCCACCCATTGGTTGTTTACAGCTTGGCAAGCCATCGAGCAACAAAGTTAACTCGGATCACGATGTGTGTTGAGATTTTTAGTACTAAGTATACATATGTATATCTGATGACGATGGTGTATTCACTTTGTGTGGTCGGCAAGATTTCCTGACCCCTTTCGCACCATCAGCTTGCTTGGTAATTGGTATAGTGTGTGTATAATTTGGCAGTCCTAGTTTTACAGGAATTCTTCATCATCGTTATTAAAGGCTTACATTTATATCCTGAAGTTTTACAAGGTATCATCATTGTATTTTCATCCAAAAGAACATAAATTACAGAACTTCCATTAATTGTCTACACTCTGGTGACTCTACAGATTAAAAAGCAAGCAGATTTAACATTATGTATGGAAAAAGTACAACCAAGAGAGTCTACCCTACAACTTATGAGAGAAACTTACATGAAATAGGTGCACCGCCAGTTTGGGATCCCAATCCTATCACACGTTGCAAGGTGGTTTAACTTTGTTCATGACAACGTAGGTTTGGGACGCCAAAGTGACAGTGTACATGTTTCATGTAATTCTTCGGGATCGAGATACATCCCATTGTCTACAACTCTATCACTAGTGTCTCTCAGTTCATGTAACAGTGATGTAGACACAAGGAGATACCGCGGTGTCGCTGACACATCAGAATTTCCCCCAAATAACAGAGTAACACACATATACCATTCAACAGAAAATAACAGAAGGAGATTAATTCTAGCAATTGTATTTCAAACAGATTAGGGATTAAAATTGAAATCCAGATCAGATACATACTACAGATAGCACAATAAGCAGATTAATTAGTACAAAATAAGAAGATTAATTGACATTTATAACAGCAGATTAAAGCATGAAATCCCATCAGTGCATACTTACAATTTCATAAATCATATGAAATACAAAGAAATTTATCACAAGAAGTTTGAAAACGCACAGTTTTCGTCCTTTCCCTGGATTCTGATATGATTTCTGTAATCTGAAATTCTGGACGCGCACACCATGCTTGCGAATTGCAATGGCAGTTTTACCTCTAGGGCTTGGCGCCAAAACGACGCCGAAGGAGGAACTTTGACGAAACGCACCGTCTCGCTGTTCGCGCCTTATCTTATCCCATCCAAATGTCTCATCTTTAACCTCCCAAGTCCAAAGTCCAAAGCCTTGGCCATTTTCCCGGTTTTCCTTCAATGGCAGAGAGCTCAGAGCAGGACCTCATGACCACCGCGAGTAGGAGGTTGGCCTCCATCGCCAACCACCTCAGTCCGGCCCATCTATCTCCCAGCTCCGCCGCAATTTCTCTATCCAACGCCTCCATGAACGACAGCTACCACCGCACCCACGGCGAGGTCTCGACTCACCAAGTTGTTTGGAAAAATGCTCGCGACGAGTCTGGCGAGGAATTCACCGACATTATTTATGAGAAATCCGTCGGCGAAGCCATTGCAAAGGTCAGGCTCCTCAGGTTGGTTTTGATTAATGAGTCCTAAGTCCTACTTACTGAGTCTAATTTGGAGATAATGAGATTTGATGTGTCTAAATCTCGCGCTTTCTGTAGATTACGATTAATAGGCCGGAGAGAAGAAACGCGTTTCGGCCGCAGACGGTTAAGGAGCTCATTCGCGCGTTTAACGATGCCAGGGACGACGGCTCCATAGGCGTCGTCATTCTTACCGGGAAGGTACCCCCCGCCCCCGCGAACAACTAGCTAGTAATATGATGCAAAGATGTCAACTTTACTCTGTTTTGTTGGCAATTTGATGTTTTTAGGGAACCAAGGCATTCTGCAGTGGCGGTGATCAGGCTTTGAGAGGCAAAGATGGATATTCTGATTACGAAGATTTTGGTCGTCTTAATGTTTTGGATTTGCAGGTATATATATATATATATAATTTTTTTTTTTTGGTATGATTCTGTAACATTTTGTTAATACTGGGCAGTAAACTAATAATTGTTCTTGCTGGTATATAAATCATCTCAAATTGCTATGTTCAGGTCCAGATTCGACGTCTTCCAAAGCCAGTAATAGCCATGGTATGCTCTTGTGAACCTACTTTGCATTAGGCCTTTGTTGTTGGACAGTTGGAGAGCTGTGAAACTTAAACTTTGCCTCCACCCCAACTTAGTGAATGCATGATCCGTTGTCAATGTTAAATGGTTTATCAGGTGGCTGGTTATGCAGTTGGGGGAGGACATGTATTACACATGGTCTGTGATCTAACCATTGCAGCAGACAATGCTATTTTTGGTCAGACCGGTCCTAAGGTACTCGTATCATATACCTTTATTCTGGTTAGTCACAAAGTTTTAATTTTGGTTGGGGTGCTAAACTATTGAAACTTACAAACTTGCTTTTCGTTTCATCTTCAATCTAAAGAATGGGTGAGAGCAGCATGCTAACATACAGAAACCTCACAACTTGTACATTTGACAGGTTGGAAGCTTTGACGCTGGTTATGGGAGTTCAATCATGTCCCGTTTGGTAAGAATCGATTCAAGTTGATTTATGTTATGCAAATACTTGTTTCAAATTACCCTCACTTGGTATGTGGTGGACTACCTTTAATGAATGGCTTTGGTTAATCAGATCGGGCCTAAAAAAGCACGAGAAATGTGGTTTATGGCAAGGTTTTACACAGCCGCTGAAGCTGAGAAAATGGGTCTTGTTAACACTGTTGTACCGGTAAGTCTACTCCCAATGTGACACAGATCTCATCGTATGGTGTATGTCTTATCTTATGTAGTATAAATTGAATACAAATGGCTTTTGCCTAAAAAATTAGCCTTATTTCACTCAAAGTTTGCAGAAGATAGCATCTTCACTATTTTATACTGTTATCCAGCTGGAGAGTTTAGAGCAAGAAACGGTTAAATGGTGTCGAGAAATGCTAAGAAACAGCCCAACTGCACTTCGGGTGCTGAAATCTGCTCTTAATGCAGTTGACGATGGTCATGCTGGACTACAGGTACCTTCAGTTATCATGTGTATTTCTAGAGATTCCGCACTCTTATTCATATATCTGTGTGCTAACTACTTTGCCAATGTTTCCAATGCAGCAACTTGCTGGAGATGCCACACTGTTATTCTATGGCACTGAGGAAGGGAATGAAGGGAAGACAGCTTATATGCAACACAGGCGTCCGGATTTCTCAAAGTTTCCCAGGAGACCTTAATGCTGAGCAGTTTCCCAGCAGACTTGGACCCCTTGGCCACTTGTTCGTTTGTTTTTCCTCCCTTTCCCCCCTTTTCGGATAAATGCTTTAGTTTTGAAGCTCCGACGTTGGTGGTGAGGAGTTCAAATAGTGCCCTGCTGCCATTGTTCTGAGTTAATAGGTTGACTGCTTTTTTCCAGACTCCAGAAATGTAATTTGCTCAAAACTCTTGCTTACAGTGAGGTTTCTACTCTTCCCATTGCATCTTTGGAAGTTTGGTTTATGTTTTTTGGAGATATTTTAAACTACTCTTGCTGTTGCATCTTTGGGTGATTCAAACTCGAGTGTTAGCTAACCTAACCCACGTATACATTTATTAGTAAAGAAAGGAAATTTCTAACTTTCTAATTTCCATTGTGTGGTTATTGACGAAAATGAAAATAAAAGGGAAGAAATGGAGAGCATAACTCAAACTATCAAAGACACACACAAGTGAAAAATGCAAAAATAGAGAAGTGTGTATGATATTTTTCTTTAAAAGTGCCGATGACACTTTTTTCCACTCAAAAGTTTTTTTTTTATTTTTCATTATTTTGTTATTTTCCCTTGTATATTCTTCAACTAATAAAATACAAGATATCAAATTTATTTATTTATTTTCTTGGATGAAAATAATGAACCTTATCCGAATAAATACAAATATCTACTAATTAATAAGACACTCATTGTCAACCAAAATTCTATGAAATTATCAGTTTAATCCTCTAATTAAAACAGAACATGAATGAGAAATATGAGACAGAAATGTAATTTCACACAATCAAATTTTACTGTTTTTTTAAGCCTCAGCTACATGTAATCCTAACATATATTTCATTAAAATTGAAAAAAAAAAAAAACTTTCCACTCCCACATTCTCTATCACTCTCTTTCTCTCTCCTATTTAAAAAAAAAAAAATTTACGTACTTTATATGTGCCCATATGCTAGTAATAATATAAAAAAAACTTTGTTCTTTCAAAATAAGAAAGAAACAAATAAAAAGCTTATGAACTTCGGAGTGAATCTCCTGGGCTTACAGCTCAAAAAGAAAGCCCAGTAAAGTAACGACCCAAAACTCCTCCCGCTTCAAGCTGACGTGGCAACCTTCCTCCTCCTGCTCAAGCAAACTCCCCCGAGTTCGCATTGCTCCCACGCCACCTCGATTCAGAAAACTCTGCTTCAGAATCACGTCCTCGACCGAACTCCAATTCGATTTTCTCCCCCCAATTCGCTACCAGAAAACCCTAAATTATGAGAAAACACAGCTCCTAAAACTCTATAAGCCATGAGCGGGAACGAGTTCCGCTTCTTCTTGTCCTGCGACATCAACCTCCCAGTAACCTTCCGGATCGAACTGCTAGAAGGAGCCTTGCCTCCCTCCAAGTCCCCTAGCTCCGGTACATTTTCTCACTAATTTTCTGTTTGGTTCCCGAGAAAATATTTTTACTCAATCAACGTTCTTCAATTCAGTTTTATTTTTTTTATTTTTTATTTTTTATGCACTGCAGATGTTGATCCCGCTTTCGCAACCGAAGAGAGAAATTCAGAGCTGTATGTGGAGTGTGCATTGTACATTGATGGTGCTCCATTTGGGCTTCCCACCAGGACAAGGTTTTTCCGCCTTCACTGGTTTCTTCTTGCTTCAATTGCATCAATGATGTTGTTATAGATTTTGAATTTTTGTATCTTCTGCTAGGCTGGAGTCTTCAGGACCATTATATTGTTGGAACGAACTCGTTACTCTGAGTACGAAATACCGAGACTTAACCGGTCACTCACAACTTGCTCTAACAGTATGTTTGCTGTTTCACTTCACATCTTAAACAATTCGGTTCTCTGTAATCCCTTGTATATTAACAAATAGTTCAGGATTCCCGTTTGGTATCGATAATCTTTTTACTCGTTGGAAATTTAGGTTTGGGATGTTTCGTGTGGGAAGGATGAAGGGTTGGTTGGTGGTGCCACAATTCTTCTTTTTAATAGCAAAAAGCAACTCAAAACAGGGAAGCAAAAGCTGAGGCTTTGGAAGGGAAAAGTAGCAGACGGGTCGTTTCCTACTTCTACTCCTGGAAAGGTTTCTGATTGTTTCTTTTTAAGCAGTTACAGATATGGGCCTTAGCGTTGTTCCTTGAATTTTCCTAATCGGTTTAGCTTTGTTATGTATCCCTCGTTTAATTTTTTTATAGGTCCCCAGGCATGAGCGTGGGGAGTTGGAACGCTTGGAGAAGCTCGTGAATAGGTATGAGAGGGGGCAGATCCAATGTGTTGATTGGCTGGACCGCCTGGCTTTTAAAGCTATGGAGAGAATAAAGGAACGGGAAAGCTCTAAAAATGGAAGTTTGCATTTGTACCTGGTTGTCGATTTCTGTAGTTTTGAACATCGTGTTGCTTTCCAGGTAACCCCAGTCTGCAACTAATCTGAAGTTATTAAAGTTACCTATTGGCTGATATTGAACTATAACTTTTTGGTTAGATTTTAAAATTTAATTAGTTGGTTGACAAATGCATGCTTATATGGAATGTTAGCTTATGTTGCTATTTAAACTCTTTATTTACTCTGAAACTCAATACTTATTGTTATCACGTCTTGAAATAAGTAACTAACTTTTAGTTGTTATTTTCCGTGGATAATGAGTTTCCCTAGCACTAACCTTTATTTATTGGAGTCTAGGAATCAGGGGCAAATTTCTTGTTACCGTCCCCAATAGCTTCAACAAATGAAATTGTCACGGTCTGGGACCCAGAAGTGGGAAAGATAAATCCATCAGAGCACAAGCAACTAAAACTCGCAAGGAGTTTAACCCGTGGTATCATTGACTGGGATCTCAAACCAAGCTCCAACGAAAGAAAGTAAGTTCAAAATTTACTCTAAAGGTTCATAT